GGCTCTGAGCAAACAGTCAGCACAGAGCCTGAGGCGGGGCTCGAATCCACAAACTGTGAGATCATGACCTGAGCCAAAGTTGGACGCTCAATCGACTGAGCCACCCAGTTGCACATATCAGAAGATTTTTAAAGCAAAACTATTATAGAAAATTTCAAACATATAAACAGTGGAGAGAATAGTATAATGAACCCCCATTTATCTATCAGTCAACTCCAATTCCCACTATTTTGTCTGGAGATTTTCACTGACTCAAAGTAGTTTGTCAGTTACTATAGCCTCATCTATCTGGGATTAGAAACCTCTTGTTTATTCCACTAATTTCCAGCCTAATGATTATCTCTGTTTCTGTACCTAGCCCTATCACTATACCTGGCCCCAAAGCAGAGGCACCATGAATTCACTCCATTCGTTCACTAATAAATAGTGAGGGCCTACTCTAGAAAATAAGGTCTTCGTTTGTAGATAAAAATCAAATGGGTTATATCAGTTGGTGATAAGTGCTAGTAGAAAAATAAAGTAGGCAAGGAGATAATAACAAGGGTTTTCTTTGTAGCAATGAGGGAAGACTTGTCTGATGAGGTAACATTTGAACTATGACTTGAGAAAAGTGAGGAAGGAAGTGATGTGGACATTTGGGGGAAAAGCTTTCCAGGTGGAGGGACCAGTTTCAACACAAATGTGTTTGGTATGTTTGAGAAAGAGCAAGAAGCTTAGGTAGGTGGGATAAAATAAGAACTTTGGACTCTATTCTGATGAGATGTAAAGCCTTTGGAGGTTTTTTTCTCTTTAATGTTTATTTTTGAGACAGAGAGAGAGAGAGAGAGAGAGAGAGAGAGAGAGAGAGAGAGAGGCGGGGAAGGGCAGAGAGAGAGGGAGACACAGAATCCGAAGCAGGCTCCAGGCCCCGAGCTGTCAGCACAGAGCCCAACTCATGAGCTGTGAGATCATGAACCTGAGCCCAAGTCAGCCGCCCAACCAACCGAGTCACCCAGGCGCCCCTGGAGGGTTTTGAGCAATGGAGTGAAAATGATATGACGTGTTTTAAAAAGATACACTTGCCTGCTGTGTGGAGAGTAGAGAGTACAGGACTGGAATGAAGGAGGGAGACCAGTGGTCCAACAGATGGTGGCTTAGACTTGGGTGAAAATGGGTGAGGATGGCGAGAAGTGGGCACATTCTAGATAAATTTGAATGACAAAAGCAACAAGATTTGCTTGAGGAGTCAGATGTAGGATGGGAGCGGTTTGGCTGAGAACCTGGAAGAATGAAGTTGTCCTTTAGTGACATGGGGCACACCGGGGGAGGAGTGGGTTTGTAGGGGGTGATCAAAATTTTTCCTCTGAGAGCCTGAGGCATACAAGTGGAGATGATGAGGGGGAGTTGGACAAAAAGTCAGTGTAATGGATGGTATTTAGTCTTGACAGTGGACAGTATCACCTAGCAAGTGAGTGTGGAGAAAGAATTTGAGGAACAAGGGCCAGGCCCTGGGGCATTCTAATGATTAGGACTGAGGAGCCAGCAAAGGAAACTTAAGAGGTATGGCCAGTGAGGCAGAGGAGAACCAAGAAAAACTAGTGTCTCCGAAGCTGAGCGAGGAGTATCGAAAGGAGGTATACTTGAACTAAATAAAATTCTTTTTCTTCAACTGAAGCTCAGGGGCTGAGTGGTTTTTACTTACTCATAGCCACCTGTGTCTCAAGCAGTGAACCCAGAACAAAAGCAAATACCTGAGGGGTGCCTGGGTGGTTCTGTTGGTTAAACGTCCGACTTCGGCTCAGGTCATGATCTCACTGTTGGTATGTTCAAACCCCAACACTGGGCTCTGCACTGGCAGTGTAGAGCCTGCTTGGGATTCTCTCTTTCTCCCTCTCTCAAATAAATATTTAAAGGCAGTGCTAGTGGAGCTCAAATGGGAGAACAGAGACATCATAGCTCATAGCTGAAGGAGAGGGCCCTAGTGTCCACCTGACTGAAGATCCAGGCCTGTCTGCATTCATACAGAAAAAGTGCAGATCAGGGGTGTGGCCATTCTCCTAATTTTCCTAGGGATAGGGTCAGGCAAGGTTTCTGGTTAGTGTGGAAACCAGGCATGGTCTGGACTACCTGGGGAGAATGAAGGAAGAGGGAAAAACTAGTGTAGGAACTTCACGACGTTGCATGTATTTTTCCACATCAAGCTCTTCCCATTTCCAAGGTGCCCTTTTCTATACGTGAGGAAGGTACTTCCTGAGGTTTAGACTCCCAGCAACATCCAGGTGGTGGTACTGAGCAAAGGAAAGCCCGAGGTCCTGAATGATCATATAGCCAGCTGGTCCCAGATGAAGAGGGCGAGTGCCCATAACTCCCCATGGGGGAGGCCAGCCGGTAGTACAACAGGTAGTACCACTCCCTTGTCTCCCCCCAGAGGCGAAGGGACCACTTTGGAGGAAGAAGCCAAAATGAGGTAGATACTTCATCTGGAAAAGCTCAATACATAGCATTCTACATCCCACCCTCAGCCCTGTAGGAGCCACTCTGCCTGCCCCCAACACACTCCCACTTATCTTACCATAAAACAAAGGGGAAGAAGGGGAGGGGTTCTCCAATCATGCTTCAGTAACTGAGATGGATGGACAAAACTGTCCCTCCTCAGTCTGGGGCCAAAATGAATGCCCTGTGCCCAGAAACACACGATCACAGCTGTGGACAAGATGGCATCCTTCCTAAGCCCCACGGACTCCCCTTTGTGCTCCTGGACCACGAGGCACATCTGAGGGAAGACTTCTGAAGAACTACAGCTCAGCTCTGGTTCACTTTCCTTTTGACCCCAGTCTAGGCTGTCTCAGGTGTCAACCTTGGAGCAGTTAGGGAAGAGGACAAGTGCCCAAACCCTTGAATATCCCTGGTAACAAGGGTGCACTGCTGTTGTAGTGGTGGTGGTGATGGTTGTAGGGCAGCAACACTGGGGAAGGAATCCTGACTGGCGCCTGGATGGCTGGTAGTCTGGGGCCATGTGGGCCAGACTGTTGGTAGGCCAGCCTCACTTCTGTTCATGCAAGGTCCAAGCTCTGGGTATCCCAATAACATGGTGCCCATAAGTTCAAGAAGGAAACCAGAGGGAAAAGCAATGACATTGGTACTAAGACATTTATTACATCATAAAAAGTCCATTGTTGTCCTGTTTTTCCATATGTACATGCTCCTGTGGGTAGCAGTCCCTCTGTCCAGCCCCACCTGCCAACCCTCCATGGTGCCAATCAACTCTCCAAACCGACCAACTAATTAATAAAAGAGGAAGAACTGGAGGAGGTGGCCCAGGGCTGATGGGAATGGAGATGGGAGAGGGACACAAAGTGCAGAATAGTTGGCTTGGCTATCAATGCCTGACCACAGGGCAGGAGGGGCAGGAGGGCAGGCACTGCAGGCTGGCATAGAGATGCCTCCCCAGGGCTGCCAGGCTGCAGGCAATACCTGAGTGCACTCTCAGGTTAGAACCCCAGGAATGGGGAGCAAAGGAAAAAGGTTCCTCAGCCTGATTGTGGATTCCAGGAGGGGCTATAAAAGTTCTCTTTTTCAGGTCCCCATCCAAGTAGCAGCGACAGCAGCTCAGGCTGGGCCTGAGAAGTTTGTGGCCCTTGGGACAGGTGGGAGGGTGGCCAAGGACAGCCTGATAGGAAGTACTGGTCCTGATCTCTGAGGAGCCTGCCTTAGTTGACCTCAGAGGTGGGCATGGGGTCTGTGGGGCGGGGTGTAGCCAGGAGGGGCACTGGTGAAGTGGCCTCAATGAGAGCAGGGTTGAGGATGATGGGCAGAGTCATGGGTGGTACACCCACCTGCAGTGGGGAGGCCAAGGGCTGCAGGATCAGTGGGGGCTGAGCCAGGGGAGGAGGCCCATCTGGAGTAGGGCTCAGTCTGCTGGGGCTAGACGCCACTGGTGATCCAGGGGAGCTGCTGTTGGCAGGCCGAGGGCCCTCAGGCTTCTCAAAGTCTACAGGGAGAGCGAGGGGCTGGTCAGACTCCCTCACATTCTCCAGCTGGCTTACCTAACCTCTGCTTTTCCCCATTGCTGTGAACAAAATGACTCCTACCAGGCTATGTAGTTGGCAATCTCCCCTTTAACTCATTCAAAAATGCAGTTACCTTATACCTACCCTCTATCTCCTTTGCTGTACCTCCAGTCAAGTAAATTATAGTCTGATCTTTACTAGGATCCCTCCTGAAGGGCAACTGCTGCATATTTATGTCAAGTCCCTGATCCAACCTTCTCCTCCCACGCCTGAAAATCTCAAGCAGGTAGCTCATCAGAGCTTATTTGGTCCTGTCACTTCCCACAGGAAGAGCAGGTGACCAGAATACTCTGGTTCCCTCCTTTCCCTGGCTCACAGCCCATGCTCAGTGGCAATCCCAAACTACCCTGGGCTTCCTCTTAGGCCTCCTACTTCTTGCTCAACACCCAGGAGGCTAGCTCAGAAGGACTCACCACAGACCCCCAGCTCAGAAGGCATCTCTGGAGGAGGTGGATGGCCAGGTGTCCTTGTGTCCCCAGCAGCAGGAGCCATGTGGGCTGAGGCCATAGGTTTTTGGGCATGTGGCTCCATGGGCATGGGGTCTGGGGAGGGCAGAAAAATCAGATGGCAGCTCTTAGTGTTTTCCTTCAAGCAGAGCCCTGGCTACCCAACAATCCTCCCACAAATAAGAGATACAGAGAACTATTTATTAGCTCCAGACTCTCTGATGGGGACTCTTTTTGATAAAATTGAGCTAAGCCTCCTACCCTGGATGACAGTCTGCTTGAAGAGCTCATCTCGTAGGTGGGGCAGAAAACAGTCAATGCGCTCCCAGGTAATCTCCCAGAGGGCTGAGGGGCTGCCTCCTCGGGCATCTGCGTTGTGGAAAATCTCTGCTGTGTCCATCACCAGGAGCATGTTCTTCAGAGACTCAGGGATGGCCTCTGACTGTAGGTGGCAGTGGGACCATGTGGATGGGAAAAAGGGCATGGTGGAATATGGTAAGGAGGCATCCATCGAGGGAAAACAGCATGTCTTCCCAGCAGGTGGGAGAGGAAGCAGGCAGTGGTAGAACATACCAGTAAGTCACTGGAGCCTGCATGCATATACTTGTCCATGAAGTCCAGGATGGTCAGCCAGAGGGCCGCAAAGGTAGAGAGTGACAGCAGCGGAGACAGGTGCTGCAAGAAGACCTATGGCCCACCAGCCCCTTTTAGCAGAGGGGTCAGAGCTGTCTGCATCCCTCTCCAAGGCTGGGAAGGAAGCCTGCTCTATCTTGCATGGGAATCCTATAGCGGAGATTCCTCTGAATTCCAAGATCCTCCCAGGTCTCTGGGTTCTGCCGAGTCTCCACAGCTGGGGATCCTGAGCACCCACATTGCATCTCTTGGTCCTAGCAGAAGCCTAGCTTCCCTCCTTGCAGAGAGGCAAGTATGGGGAGAGTGGGTGGGTGAGGGCATTGAGCAGTACCTTAGAGAGCAGTGTGGAAGCCCTCATTCGAGTCTCCTCCATCCCACCCACATCTGCAGGGCTGATGTTCTCCAAGAGTTTGGTCAGTAGAGGAAACAGCACCTGGTAGGTAAAGAGCCAATGTCTCCCTAGCAGGGTCAGTTGGCAGCCTTGCCCCAAGGAAGCCAGGGGGTGGGGTGGGGTGGATAAGCACAGAGCAGAAGGGAAAAATAGGATGCAGGCTGAGGACTGACATCAGGGGCTCTTCAGGCTGCCCAGCTCTATCTTAAGGCTTTGAACTTTGCCTTAAGACTAGAGGGGAGTCCTACCTTGTTAAAACAGGACTCCCACTCCAGGGCATCTAGCTTTTGCAGATCATGTACCAGTAGTGCTCGCTGCAGATAGGTCAGTGCCTGCATCCGCACCTGGCGCCGGGCATCACAGCACAGGCAGGCGATGCCTGAGAGTGAGAATAGGCTCAGGATCCTTCAGGCATCCTGATCCTGGTGCTTCCCAAGCTCCAGCTTCACTTCTGCCCCTGCCCTGCCTGCTCCCCTGATGTTTACCCTGCAGTAAAGGGCACCAACAGTGGGCCCAGAGGGTGCGTGAATCTGCTTCGATCTTCCGACCACCTGTCTCCAGGTGGCGCTGCTCCTCCGCCCACGAGCTGTAGATAGAGGCCGCTCTCGTGTGTAGGGTGTGCATCAGGTCTAACAACTGGGGGTCACAGGAGAGGCAGGATGAGTTAAGGTCCGTGGGTGCCCCCCCCCCAAAACACTGTCCCTGACTGAGTCTTCAAGGGAGACCCTACTACCAGTGACACCATACTCTACCCCTCCCACCCCTCCTTTTCTCTTCAACTTCATGAGCTAGTTGCCCCCTTCCAGCCAGTGCTTCCCGAAGTTGGGTATTACTCCTAGTGCAGGAGACATGAGGAGGTGTGTGGAATAAGTATTTAGTAACAATGAATTACATGGTGAAAAAGGTACTTTCTTTTCAATTCTCTTTCATACTTCTGATGACAGATTAAGCCTCATCTTATTAATTTCACCTTACAAACAGAAAGCAAACATCAGACTCAGAGGCTCTGGTGGGCAATAGTGTGTGGTCAACTTTAATAATTTTTTTGTTTTCAGGATTTTTCTACAGTTATTAAGGCAACTAGTTCTCCATTTATTCAGTGATATGAAGTCTGCTTGTAAAATAAATTTTATATACCTTGAATAGACAAAGAATAACTCTGGAAGGATAGACAAGAAACTGGTGGCAGTGTGTACCTCTGGAGAGGGGAACTTAGCAACTGGGGGCAGAAATGGAATGCGACTTTTTTTTTTTTAAAGTTATGCGTGTTTTTTTAAAATGTTTATTTATTTTTGAGAGAAAGAGAGACAGAGACAGAGAGAGGGGGAGAGAGGGAGCAGAGGAGGGGCAGAAAGAGAGGGAGACGCAGAATCTGAAGCAGGCTCCAGGCTCTGAGCTGTCAACACAGAGCCTGACGCAGAGCTCGAACCCACTAACTGTGGGATCATGACCGGAGTCAAACTTGGATGCTTAACTGACTGAGCCACCCAGGCACCCCAGACTTACTTTTATTTGTTTACCCTTTTCTACTTTTGAACTTTGTACCATATGCATGTATTACTTATTCAAAACATAAACCTTAAATATTAAGGTCTGGATATTGGATAGGGGAACACTGTGGAGGTGGTGGCTAAGGTCCTGGGTTGGAAACCAGGTCCTTCTCAGCCTTGGCTGTCCCTGGCTCTGCCCAGGCTCCCAATGTCACAAGGAGGGAGAGGAGAGCAAGTAAAGGATGCCATACTTACGTCCTGACTGACCTGTAAAGACACCGTATGGTAGCTGGCAGGCACGCCTTCATCCTCATCATCGTCACTATGCCCACCTCGAGCGGCATGTTGGCTGGAGGTTCGAGGCCGCCGAAGCACTGAGCCTTCCTTGGATTTCTTCTTGAAGCGGTTTCCTTTGCTGTCATATTTGTGACTCTTGCCACGTTTCTCCTGGGACTTGCACCCTGAGCAGAGCCAGACCCAGGTCACAATTCTACATCCATGGACACAGACGGCCTACCTTTTCCTCCCTTTCCCCCGTATATTCACATGGTTAGTCCCCAACTGCCCCTTCATTGGGTAACCCACCGCCATTCAGACTGGCCTCCACAAAGATGCGGAGAGTCTTGACGCAGAGCTCAAAGTTGTCAGGTGTAATGTGGGCAGCATCACGCACAATGAACGACAGAGATTCCACACACTTAAGCAGGGACTTAGTGTCATGTGGCCCGAGGTCCAGCCCCACTGTTAGGCTGTACTGATTGACCAGGGGTGAAGGGCCTAGCCGGCTGGGCCCAGGACCTGGCTTGGAGTTATCGATGTCATCCTTCCCCACCTGTAAAGTACACAGAGTTGCTGGGAACCCAGGCTTGAGCCTGATCTTCCCCCTAGATGTCCTGCTGGAGGACCAGGAATCTTTCCCACAGGCCAAGGAGGGAAGACTCACCCACTACCTGTATGCTCACTTACCACTAACCAACCGCTGTTGACCACATCAGCATCTGTGGCTGATCGGTGGATCTTGCCAGGCCTACAATGGTCAGCATAGACCTCTGAGTCAGAAGTGTATCCTCGGTCCAGGCTCACATCATTCTGATGGTAGGATGGGAGTTCGCTGTCTGATTGGGCCCCTGAGTCAGCAGGGAGAAGGGCAGAGTCAGGGTGGAAAGGGGGACACTGGGATGAGGGATGATTTCAGTTCTGAGAAGTAGGTGCTAAAGCCTGGCCTCTCCTCTCTCTTGGTCCAGCTTAGTTTCAACCCTGTCATCAGAGGGCTGGAGGATGGTCTGGACAGATTTTTTTTTTTTTTTAAGTTTGTTTATTTATTTGGGGAGAGAGAGAGAAAGAGAGACAGAGACAGAGAAACAAACAGATAATAAGTGGGGGAGGGGCAGAGAAAGAAGGAAGAGACAGAATCCCAAGCAGGCTCTGCACTGTCAGCACAGAGCCTACCATGGGGCTTGACCCCACGAACTGTGAGATCATGACCTGAGCCAAAGTCAAGAGTCAGATGCTTAACCGACTGAGACTTCCAGATGCCCCTGGACAGATTCTCTCTTGACCAAATGTGGCAGTAGGCTAATTTGGGCTCCTGATGGTATCTAGTAGCAGCTGTCAGGGGGTGCGGGTGGTGGTGAGGACATAGTTTCTGATAAAACAGTCCTCAGGACAGTAGGAAGCCTGGTATCATAGGTGTTTATATTGCCTACTAGCTTTCATGCTGTTTAACCCATGGGTGCTGGGGAAAGGCCAGTGGGTACAGGAAGCTCTGGAAGCAGATGGCAGAAGCCAGGGGTGTCTAATCTGCTAAATGCAATAGCCTGTATTTTGTTTTCCTGTCTCAACCCCTGGGGCCATAACTGTTTATCTGCCAATGTGGGTCTCCCTGGGAAAGGGCTTACCAGCATCAGGTGCATCAGCCCTGGCTGTGGCCTGCAGTGCAGCTGGAGGTTTTACGCCTGAGCCAATGCATTCCAGTAGCGTGAAGAGGGTAGCCCAGTCATCACCTGAGTGGATGTTGGCTGCGTTGGTCTTAAGGAGTTCATGGAGCCCATAGGCTACCTGGTGACTGACTCGGGACAGCACGCTGGGCTTCATTAGTAGCAAAATGCGCAGGGAGAGCAGCACCTAGGTGGATGGGAAGCAGGAAGTGGGCACACAGCTTCTTGTCTAGTCTCCTTTCCCACCAGTTTTCTTAGGCCAGTGAGGATGGTTTGGCTAGGACCCAACTGGTCCTGCTCCTGGTCTTTTCTTTTTTTCAGTCTTTTTTTAATTAAAAATTTTATTGAGCTATAGATTCATATGCAGCTGTAAAACCTAACACAGAGAGATCTCTTCTATGCTTTGCCCCATTTACACCAATGGTAACGTTACGTAAACTATAGTATATGATAACAAGGATACTGACATTGATACAATCCACTGATCTTATTCAGATTTCCCCAGTTTTACTTTACTCATATGCGTATTAGGTTCTTAGTCACCTAAGTCACTTAGTCAACTTAGTCACCTAATTTTAGGTCTATGTATCCTTTGCTAGTCAAGATGCTGAATAGTTCCACCACCACAGGATTCCCCGTGTTGCCCTTTTATAAACACATCTGCCTCTTTTTTGCCCCCATCCCTATCCCCTGGCAATCTGTTCATGACTTCTAAAATCCTGTCGTTTCAAAAATGTCATATAAATGGAATTATATAATATATAGCCTTTTGAAATTGGCTTTTTTTCACTCAGTATAATCCCTTGGAGATTCATCCAAATTGTTGTGTTTATCAATAGTTTGTTGCTTTGGTTACTGAACAGTCTTAAGGACTTAAGGACATATGTCCCACAGTTTAACTATACCTGTTGAAAATCATTTGGGCTGATTCCAGTTTTTGGCTATTATAAATAAAACTTCTATGAACATTCATGAATAGGTTTTTATGAGAAAGTAAGCTTTAATTTCTTTGGGATAAGTGCCCAAGAGTGCAACTGCTAGATTGTGTGGTAACTGCATATTTAGTTCTATGAAGAAACTGCTGACAGAGGAGCTGTACCATTTTACATTCCCATCAGCAATATATGAGTGACCTTTACCCTTGCCGGCATTTGGTAATATCACTATTTTTTACTCTAGTCTTTGTGATAGGTGGGTAGTAATATCTCATTGTGGTTTCAATTTCCATTTCCCTGTGGGGTAATAATGTTGAACATCATTTAAGTGTTTTCATGTGCTTATTTGCCATCTGTATATCTTCTTCAGTGAAATGTCTATTCATATTTTTTGCCCATTTTCTAATTGGATTGTTTCCTTACTGTTGTATTTTGAGTTCTTTTATTTAGATGTTAGTCTTTTCTCAGATATGTAATTTGCAAAGATATGCTCCTTATCTTTTCATCCTTTTCACATTAGCTTCCACAGAGTATAGTTTTAATATTGATAGAGTCCAATTTATCAATTTTTCCTTTTATGGATTGTGCTTTTGGTATCAAGTCTAAGAATACTTTGCCTACCTCCTGAAGATACCCTCCTGTATTTCTTCTTAAAGGTTTCATACTTTGGGGCACCTGGGTGGCGCCTGAGACTTTGGCTCAGGTTATGATCTTACAGCTCGTGAGTTCAAGCTCCGTGTCGGGCTCTGTGCTAACAGCTCGGAGCCTGAAGCCTGCTTCTGATTCTGTGTCTCCCTCTCTCTCTGCCCCTAACTCACTCGCATTCTGTCTCTGCCTCTCTCAAAAATAAATAAACATTAAAAAAGTTTAATAAAAAAACCCAAATTACTTAGCCTAACTATATTTAGAAAAAAAAAAAAAAAGGTTTCATACTTCTACAGTTTACATTTAAATCTATGATTCTTTTTTTTTAATGTTTATTTATTTTGAGAGAGAGATGGACAGTGCGCACAAGCATGAGCAGGGTAGGGGCAGAGAGAGGGAGAGAATCCCAAGCAGGTTCTGCACTGTTAGCATGGAGTCCCATGCCGGGCTTGATCTCATGAACCATGAGATCATGACCTGAGCTGAGATCAAAAGTTGAACCCTTAACTGGCTGAGCCACCCAGGTGCCCTCTAAGATTCATTTTGAAATAATTTTTCTATAAGGTATAATACTTAGGTCAAGGTTCACTTGTTTGTTCCCCACCCACTGATTTCAATTGTTCCAGCAACTGAAAAAGCTATCCTTCCTCCACCGAATTGTTTTTGCACTTTTGTAAAAAAAAAATTAGTTGAGCTGGGCACCTGGGTGGCTCTGTCAGTTGAGCGCCCGACTCTTGATTTAGGCTCAGGTCATATTTCCCAGTTTGTGAGATCGAACTCTGCATCAGGCTCAGTGCTGACAGTATGGAGCTTGCTTGGGATTCTCTCTCTGCTCCTCCCCTACTCACGTGCATGCTTACTCTCTCTCAAAATAGATTAAATATATAAGCTGAAAATAAATTAGTTGAGCATCTTTGTGTGAGTCTATTTCTGGGTTCTTTCTTCTGTTCCACTGCTTTATGGGTCTCTCCACAAATACCAGTCTTGATTACTGCAGTTATACAGTAAGCCTTAATAGCAGATGGAGTGATTCTTCCCTCTTCCTTCTTTCTCAAGATGTCTGGCCATTCTAGGGCCTGTGTTTTTCCATCTACATTTTAAAATAAGCCTAGGTCTACAAAAAACCTTGCTGGGATTTTCATGGGCATTGTATTAAACTTACAGATGAATTTATGGGAGAACTGACATCTTTACTATGCTGAGTCTTCAAGTTCATTAACATGGTATGCCTTTTCAGTTATTTAGATCTTCTTTGATATCTTTCATTAGAACTTTATACTTTTTAGCATACAGATCCTATACATGTTTGTTAGGTGTGTATCTCAGTATTTCACTTCATTTGAAGCACTTGTAAATATTGTGTTTTTGGTTTCATTTTCTATACATTCACTGTTAGTATCTGGACATGTGATTAATTTTTTGTGTTAATCTAACATCCTGTAACCTTGCTGAAGTCACTTACTAGTTCTATGCTGGCTGTCTTTTATACTTGAGCCAAGAGATCTCAGGAGGGTCCTAAGCATGAGAACCAGGAAACCAGGTATAGGGCTGAGAATGCCACAAGGCAGTAACCATCCAGCCCTACAGAGCAGAGCAGATACAGAACCTGCAGAGATGCTAAGGACCAGCTTAGGCTCATCCCCAATGCCAGCTGTTAGATTTCCTCCAGCCCTGTGACAGGTCACTGGGCTCATGCTATGGAGCACTAAATGTACTTACTCTCTGTCTCGGGCATTACCCATAACCGACACTGTGGCTTTAGTCCCCTGCATAACTGCCTGCCCTCCCAGCTGCACTCTGCTTACCTGGCCACTGATCTCTTCTCTGCGGAGCAGTCGAATGGCCAAGCGTAGCAGCCCCACCACTGCCCGCTCCACAAGGAAGCAGAAATCCTGTGCCTGGACACATAGGTGATACAGATGGTCTCGAACAGTCTGCCACACACAACCCACACGGTCCCTGAGGAACATAAGGGTGAGGACAGTTTCAGTTGGAGAGGCCACAAGGTAATAAGTCTCTTTTTTAGATCCAGGTTAAGCCTTTCAGGGCTCATTGGTTATTATACCCTAAGCAGGCAGGTATAATGAGCAAGCTTCTCCTCCACTGTCTACAGCTTCATGTGCTTCTTGCCCCTAGAGCCCACTCAGCAAGATGGCTCCAGTCTTCCATCCCTTTGGCACAAGCCCAGTATGAGGCCTGCCTAAAGACTGACTTCTACCTGTTCTCCAGCACAATCCTCAGCAGCATCTCCAGGCAGAAAGCAGCATCCTCCTCATCATATGTCTCTTCATCTGGTGTTACTGAGACTAGAGCCTAGAGGAGAACAGCAGGAAAGCATGGAGAAACCAGCCCCTTGGGCCTGCCCTGACAGAAATTAAGGCATTTAAACATCACTGTCCCCACCTCCCCTCCTAGACACAGCCAGCCCTTTCATCTCTCTTTCCTCTTCATTCTGTACCTTCATGAGCTCCTGCAGTGACTCCAGCTGAAGAAACTTGCTTTCTGTGATCATTTTTTCTGGGTCACATTGCTAGAGGGGGCATGAGAGAGAGGGGGTCAGTGACAAGCACTGGAGGGAAGAGAATATTCCCAAGAGGTAGGGAGAGAGAGTAGAAGGAGTGAGCTCTGGCCACAAGTCCTGGGTGATTCTACTCTTCAGTTCCTAGGGCAGCATCTATCTAGTAGGGAGGGATCTAGGCTTGTTTACCAGGGGTAGGCAGGCCAGTTACCTTGATACAGTCTAAGGCTGCTCTTTTGGCCTCTTGGTTCTCAGTGGATGGGCCTCGCACACTAGACTGTTCAGTACCACTTAGTGTCAGCCAGCTCACAAAGCTTAGCACTGTTGACTCTCCTCTGTAGAAAGAGTTCAAGCCCTGGTGAGCTCCAGAGTTCTGACCCTCCCTTCCCAAAGCCTTCATCCTCTGATCTGCCCTCACCGATTTGATGGTGTCTCCTCCCTCTGTAGAGAGATCTTGCCATTGGGATCCACGAAATCTTCTACCTGGAAAATCAGGCCAAGAATAATTTCTCTCCATATGCCCTTTGCATTTCCTGCTCCTCCATGTAAAGTTCTCTGGCTTTCTTCCTGAAGCTCACTGCCCCACATTACTGACTAGACCCCCCACAGTTGGTGACCGGCAATGGTTTATACCAGCCTTCATTTATAGCTATCCCTTCGCCCAAGATCTGTGGTCTCACATTTGAGGTGTTCTTGGTAAGCTTCAGCAGTCATCAGGCCCAGTGCTACTTTCAACCAGTTCAATACACAGATAGCACAGAGTTTACAGGCTTTTGCCTTGTTATTAGTCTCCTATAAGAATTACCTCCACCATAGCTTTGGGTAGCAGTTGGGCCCGGAAGAGCTGCAGCATGGCCTCCATGATATTCTTCCAGCCCTCCCGCAGGATGTCACCATGACGATGGGCTAAATGGAATACCGTCTTAGCTGCAATATGGGCTTTGGGGTTGCTTCCAAACACACTAGGCAGGTTCTCAATAGACTAAAAAAAAGGAAGATGAGAAAAGGCTTAGGGTCTGGTAAATATCTAGAAAGAAGATCTCTAGGACTCTGCCTATGGCTCCCTGAGGGCCCTTCTGTTTGCTACGCTTCAATCCCTCCTAATACTGGTCGGAAGGGCTAACCTGGATAAGGCTTTCCCCAGTGATGTATCTCCTCTCCCACCCCAATTACATGAGGTGACATTATTCTCATCATAAGGGGTACAATACATGAGGTAACATTATTCTCATCCTAAGGGGTGTGAAACAGAAATGGCCTAAGTGCTGCTGTAGTCTAGAGGGAGTGAAGGAATACTCTGAGAGAAAACAGCTCCACAGATAAGGATAGATCCATGACTAAAAGAGAGGTCCTCCTTTGGAACTCTAAGTACATAGTTCTTGCCGCTGCTCACCTCACTGCTGAGAGCTGTGAATTTGCACAGAGATATGATGAGATTGTCAAATACATCGCTGAGGCCATAGTGGGCGGAGATCATGGCGCACTTCCTGTAATGTCACATCCCAGAAACAGAGTGAGTTACTGGAAGGCCAGGCAGCCCTTCCAAGTCCCTGAGGAGGCTTACTTGGGATTCTTCCCCAATCAGTTCCAGGAAGAAACCTTCTACTCTTGAGTTTGTTTAAGACTGAGCTTTCTCAAGCTTCGGACTCCCTCCAAACACTCAAGAGAAATCCCTTTCTAAGAAACTTAAGAGCAGGAGTCTGAAAGGCATGGAGGCAACCATGTTAACTCAGATAGGTGGGAGGAGGTCAAGACCAAGGCGCAAAGCTGAACTACCTGAAGCCCGAGATGGCTTTCTGGATGATTGTCTCCTCAAGGCTTTTGTCAAAGACGTAAGAGAGAGCAGCAATAGTGGGGCCCCAGGTCATGGTGAAGAGGTCAAGATCATAGCTGCCAGCAGGCACACGCAAGAATATGCCTTCTGGGGTGGCACCTCGATGAAGCAGCACATTCCACACATAGTTCTCCCGAACCAAGCCTGTCTGCTCTTCAGGCATCACAATTTCCTCATTCCTGTCCAGAGGTAAAGGAAAGAGTAGGTGCACTGCTGTGAACCTGACTGGTTCCAAACTAGGACAACAGGTTTGGCCCATACTGGTTCAATCCGTCAATGAGAGGTCACCAAAACTGCAGCTCAGTGGTCTGCTTCCTACTCACCAGTGGGACCAGGGAGAAAAAAAGGGAGTGTCCAATAATCCCCCATAATCTCAAAGTCCTGTCTCTAACTGTGGCCTTTAATCCTCTAGTGAGATCTCACATTCTTTCTGGGTATGACAGGATGAATATTTCTATCTTTTCTGATTTACAGTGAAAAACCTAAGTGTCCATCTCTGACTTCTGACCCAAACCTCACCCTCCAGAGCCCCTCTTGTGTCCTCTACCAGCTTCAGAATGCATTTTGTGAGCTCAACAAGAAAACCCAGCTGCTTTGGGTTCAGAAAATGAGCCCATGATACTCTACTTAGCAGGGGCAGTTTAGATCCTGGCTCAGAATCCTAGAGCTCCAGTGTTGTTCAGGCTTCTTTAAGGAAAAAATGGGAAGGAAGGGGCTGCCCAGCTGAGTCTCAAGGCTAAATCCAGGGCATATGAATCACTGAAGTCTGCTGTGACTCTAAAATCTGGAAAAGGAAGCAGTGTGCTTCTGCTTAATAGAAAGCCAAACTATCTTCCACAAATACTCACTTGATGGCATGATACATGTCCTCCAGGATGTCTTGCTCAAAGTCCTTGCCTCCGTTCACACCTTTTAGGTTTTTGCGAAACTCCTAAAGACAGGCCAATAAGCATTTCCCCCCATGTGTGAATGCTGAAGCCCCCCCCAAAGAACTCCTGGGTCTATGGTAAATAGGACTCAGGAAACAGAAAGTGAAAGAACCCACCTCCCTAACACAGTTCTTCTCTTGGATTGGTCAGCCCTCCCTAATTCCCCTGGACAGACTCTGTCCATTGCACCCACTGGAAATCCCATGTCCTTCCTGCTACACCCCCAAAACTGTGCTGGACCCTCTCTGCCTTGGCTGGGATCCAAACTTACCTCTAGAGTCATGGGTGCATTCTGTTTGCGAACATTGTGGTTGTGCTGGTCAGTATTAAGCATGATGACAGCATAGGCCAGGGCAAAGCAGGCATCGCTATTGGCAAATGGGGAGCCATTACAATTCTGAAAAAGCAAAGACCCCATCTGTGTCAATGCCCTTCTCTGGCCAAACCCTTACTACCAACCCACTGGCCAATGCTAGGTAGAGTAGGGCTCCCAGAAAGAAATCTGCCAACCTCTTGCCAACTCCTTAACAGAAGCTGGCCTTTCTATAGAAAGCTCACTGATGCTGCTCTCAGCCTTCTAAGGAGACAGCAGCAGGAGCCATAAAAACCCTCAGTCAAATGAACTTGGGATGCTGGGCTCAGGCCCTACCATTCAACTCACCCTCCAATGCTCTGTGAATGCCTCCAGCAACCTCTGGATGACTGGTGCTTCCCCAGGTAAGCGGAAGGCTTCCAAGTAGAGACGAAGAGCTTCATCCAGCCGCAGACCCTGAAAGCTGAAGGTGCTACAGGGAAAGGAAGAAGGATGAAGAGACTAAAGATATATAAGCTGCAAATGTTGGGTTCCCTATTAGCTCCAGTCCCTCTAACCTTCTTATACTAGAACAGAGGAGGCTCAAGTCTCTGGAAAAGGGGCCATCTCTATCTCCTGGTCATCTTTAACACAGAGTAGAATCTGACAACTCCTAACTTTAGTCCTTTCCACATCAGTGAGTTCTTGCCTGGAAATCTCATCCACTGGAACCCATAACCTACCTTGTGCTCAGTAACCCTGTTCCATCCCTTTGCAATGCTCTCTATGCAGAATGGAATTGCTCCCAAAGCTATCTTGCTGGAGACACTTTCAAGTCCAACAGACATAAATCATGGGAAGAGGAAGAGTATGTGACCTATGTCCCCCATTTCTTACAGCTTCCTCACCTTACAAAGCTCTCCAACAGGTCAATGTTTTTGCGGTCACTCACAAACTCTCCAATCATTTTCTTGTCCAGCCGAGGGTTCTCTCGGAGCCACTGGGCTACTTCTGTGTTGTCCATTGGGATGGTGAGGAGGCCTTTTTCTTGCAGAAACTGGATCCCCTTCTTTGGTTTCTGGTTGAACTGTTCTGTGCCCGTGATTAGCAGCTGGAGGAGAAATACCAGAGGTGTCACAAGATGCTCTGCTCCTAAACCAGACAAGGCCAGGCTGGGCTCCATCATGGTCCACAGTTGGTAACCTAACCGGCTCCTAGGATGTGGTTCTAAGTGACTCCAAAACTAAGGCTGGACCATACCGACTCTAGCTTTCCCCAATCTTCATGTCTAATTAGAACTGGCTGAGGAGTTCCTTTTCACTCATTTCTGAATTCCCAAGATGCATAGGACAGCCCTTCACCAACTTGGGGATCAGGAAAAAGTAAAAGAGAGATTAGAGGAGGTTCTCTTCTCTCCAGTTTTACAGCCATCCTGGCATCAGTTTACAGCCTAGCTTGGATTTCTCTTCTTACTTTGGTTTCCCAGCTCTTAAGGACAAGGTGAACTAACTATGATGATAACTCCACTTTTTATCTGTCTAGTCACAGCCCTGCAATTAAGGGGACACATAAACCAAAGTCATTTAGGCTGACCATAAGAGGAAAAAAAGGTTTTCTTGGAGCTCCTGAGGGGTTCAGTCAGTTAAGTGTCTGACTCTTGATTTCAGCTCATGCCATGATCTCACGGTTCGTCAGATTGAGCCCCATGTTAGACTCTACACTGACAGCACACAGCCTGCTTGGGATTCTCTTGTTCCCTCTGATTCTCTTGTTCCCTCTTTCTCTCTGCCCCTGCCACATGCATGCTCGCTCGCTCACTCTCTCTCAGAAATAAACATTTCTTTTTTAAAAGAGAGGTTTTCTTTGTTTTAAAATACACACACACACACACACACACACACACACACACACACACACACACAGTTATTTGAATTTTATTAAAGCAGCAGATACATGTCAATTTCCTTTCACTGCCAATCTTCACCCTAGAGCTTGAGATGACCAGTTAACCTCCAGTGACACAACATGACACCAGGTCCCAGGCTCTTGTTACCACCAGTAATACTTAGCTGTCACCTACGGCAGATTTTGCCCAGAGGCACACAATAGAGTATACTTAATTACAAGGCTTAGAAGTGAAGGTCTTCAAAGGAGACTGGGGGGTTGCTGAAGTCCCAAAAAACTGCAAACATTAGCTTTGGGAAACCATTCAATGAGCTGCTAAACTCTCCCTTATCCTTTGAGACACAAACCCTACAAAAGACACCCAGACAGAGGCAGGCAGAGGTTAAGCTCTGGGGATAGTGCTATATATACCTTCTTTTTGTTTTTAATTTCAATCAGCTCCCGTGGATCTGGCAGGAGACAGGAAAATCGAGGTGGCTTCCGGGTAAACTTTTTGTCAGCTAGGAATGGGAGATGGGTGGAAGAGAAGAAAATACCCATAAGATCTCTTTTCCCAGGCTTTTAGAAAGGTTGCCAATAACTCTAGTAAAAAAGGAGAATGACTCAGAAATTTTCTTGTCTTCATCAGTCTTCCTACAAATCCTATCTTCTAGGGCTCCAAACATTCTATTTCCTCTCTCCAGGTTTGAGGGCATGGGTGAGCAGCCAAGGTTTACCCACATATTGCCCTAGGGTGTCTGTGCACCCCACCCCTCTGCTCTCTACCAGACCCTCCAGTTGAGGGGGCTGAGGATCATGGATACCCAGTACCCACCCCCAGAGTCACCAGCTTCCTCCAGATCACTGCATCCTGGCTTCCCGTGTTCTGCTGGCAGCCGCCCTCCACCTGGTAAATGTAGGCCTGGGACATCTGGGGCTATGCCTACAGGTTTCCCGTCGTTGGCTGCTCTCTCAGCTGGTAAGAGAGAAGAAGATAAATGAAGATGGGGTAGGAAGCCAAACAGAGTTATAGGAGAAGTTGAGTCCCAGGTCAAGGAGACCTGCCTAGGTCCCACATAGACCCACATAGGTCACCAGCCCTGAATAGGACAAACCTAATCCCAAACAAGTAGTCAGGTTAGCTAAGCATTAGATTCTATAATTTATTTTTTTTAATTTAAAAAAAATTTTTTTAATGTTTATTTATTTTTGAGAGAGAGAGAGAGAGAGAGC